TTCTACTCGTGTAAAAGAAATAAATAAATAGTATAACTAAAACAATTATCAGGAGAGTGCCGACTGCGCTTTTCTCATCGGTATGCACGGTGCGTCGACGGTGCTGTGGTTCCACCAGTGCGGCCAGACCACCAGCATGTCCATGACGCGAGCGCCGGGGCTGTCCGTGTCCTCGAACTGGCACGCGCCCGCCGCCCTGTAGTCGGTCCTGATCCTCTCCAGGTCGGACATGGCCCACTCGACGAAGCGCAGCGCGGCGTCGGCCTGCGCCGCCGTGGGCTGGCGCTGGTGGAAGGTGCCGATCATGGCCACGCTGAGCGACTCGTGGTGCCAGCCGCCGAGAGGCCGGCCCACCGCGTCCCAGCCGCGCCCCTCGTACACGGCGCCGTCGCCGCCCACCAGGAAGTTGAACTCGATGTCGTCCAGGGCGGGCGCGCGCACGTCCATGTGCTCCCGCTGCAGCTCCCGGACCTGCCCGGACAGAAGCACGGCGTGAGCTGGCTTGATACGCGGCTCTCTGGGGGCCCTGCCGGTGGACGGTACTGTACCTGCTTGACGCACTGCTCGCGCTCGAGGCAAGCGTCCGTCTCGGTGTGGTGGAAGACGATCGCCCACCAGAGGGGCACGAGGGGGGCTGTCGAGCTCCTCGCCGGCCGCGCGCCCCAGGACTCCCGCGGCACCACATTCACGTGCTCCTCTGCGGGTGCATCAGTCAGGTCAGGGCACATCGCGTTAATGTTTCCCAGGTGGCGATTAGTACACAGAGACTGTACCACATGCACACATGACACACGAGGGCCAGTTTGCCTATTCCAGCACTCTGCACTCAGAAAACCGTTTCTTTGTGGGAAAGAAATTTTACTCAGCGTAACAAAAAATATCGTAGCTGAAATCAACAAAGATTTTTCGTTGGGACGACAAAAACATTTTGCTGTCCTAATTTTCCATTTTTTTAACTATTTTTTTTGTTGAACTAACGAAAATGTTTATTTGTTACAACTAAAATTTTGTTGATTTCAGCTACGAAAAGATTTTGTTCGCACAAAGAAGTGGTTTTCTGGGTGTGGACATGGCTCCGCCAAACGGCCCGAGCGAGTAGGCGACCTGCCCGCCCGCGTGCCTGCGGTACAGTCTGGCTACGGGTGTGGGGAGCCGGTTGCCTAACCGCGCCTCCCGCACGGCCCAGTGCCTGGCTGCACCTTACCTTCCTCCCAGTGCGGAGCATCGCCCCAGCTGAAGAACACCGCGGCCGCGAGGAGCATCAGCGCCAGGGCCGCGGCCGCCAGCCCGGGCAGGAAGACTCGGGGCTGCCTACACCGTTGGAATGCTGCGAACAAACAGCACGACTGATCAGACGGAGGCCATGCTCTGATACGAAGCGAAAATAAGCACTCGACACTGTTTTGGCGCGTCATGCGCATGCCAGTCGCTGCCCGCTATCTCAAACAGGAAAATCGGTGTAGGTTGTCAATCACCGACTTAAACTTGCCACGTGCGGTTGAAGTTTGGCTGTCGGGTTGAGACAAGGCTGGCGCTGACTCCACGGTGGGGCACTTGTCGTGCAGCCGGTCGGGGAGCTGAGGCGGCTCGGGCCGCGCATCCTCGGCCCGGTCGAGCTCGCCGCCGGCGCTGCCCACGACGACCGTCACGGGGCCGTTGAAGTTGCTGATGTTCCCGATCTGGGCGGAGGCGTTGGTCATCGACACGCTGCCGACGGCCATGCGAGCGCATGACTGCGTCACGGCTAGGTGCGCCACCTTCTTGGCGTCCATGGGCGTCACGAGGACGTTGTCGCTGCAGCTGCTGCCGCCACGGAAGGAACTAGAGCTCGGGCTGCCGCTGCAGCTGTCCCCGCTGCAGCTGCCCCCGCTGCAGCTGCTGCCACTGTCCCCACTGTCGTTTTCGCCGTTCGAGTCCGAAGAGGGCGTGCAGATGAGCATACTGTTGCGGGCGCTCACTCTCCTGCCGCCCCAGAGGTCTGGCGCGGGGCAGGGGCAATCCCAGAGGACGCAGGCCACGCCACTGGAGGGGGTCGAGTCCACGAGCCAGCAGCCGTCACGAGACCCCAACGAGGGCACGTCGGAGCTCCGGCGCCTCGGCGGCGGCCACGGCAGGACGGGCGCGAGCGCGGGCGCGCTGAGGCCGGTCATGTTGGCACATCCGCCCGGCCGCCAGCCGCGACGCAAGACGAGACGGCGCGGGTGCCAGGAAGGGCCAGCACATCTGCGGAACAACCGCCGCTCAACGCGGGAACAGAGGAAACACTGGCTAGCAGAGTGCGCAGGTCGGCTGGCCGGTCGATCCGCGCGCGGCTGCTAAGGCACTGTACCGCGCTGCGCGCAGGACTTGGATGACGCTGATGATAGCTGGGCCCTCCTCGGCCTGCCCGGCCCGGGCCCAAGGGTGCTCCCGGCTACGTGAACAGATATCCTATCGGCTGACTTGAGTTGTGGCTAGTCGCGCAGCTGCGGTGGCAGGGAGGTGGCAACGCAGAACACATTGTTTCTTATCATTTCTGTTGCATTTCTTATATTTTTAGAAAAGTACAAATTGAAAT